CCCCTACTGGGGATATGCCCGCAACCAAGGTACATGCCCTTGACCAGAATCGAACCTGGGTCCCTTCAGTCCCCAAGCCGACGCTCTATCCATTGAGCCAAACCCGTCTTGGCATTTTATTGATTTTTTACAGAGAGGAAGGGAAAGGGATAGAGAGCCAGAAACATCGATGAGAGAGAAACATCGATCAGCTGCCTCCTGCACACCCCCTACTGGGACTGTGCCCGCAACCAAGGTACATGCCCTTGACCAGAATCGAGCCTGGGACCTTTCACTCAGGCCGACGCTCTATCCACTGAGCCAAACCGGTTTCGGCTCTATCCTTCATTTAAAAAAAATTATATTCATTTCAGAAAGGAAGGCAGAAGGACAGAGAGAGAAACATCAATGATGAGACAGAATCATGGATTGGTTGCCTCCTGCACACCCCACACAGGGGATTGAGCCTCACAACCCTGGCATGTGCCCCAACCGGGAATCGAAGCGTGATTTCCTGGTTCATAGGTCCACGCTCAACCACTGAGCCTCCCTGGCTGAGCCCTAAACCCTTCATTTTGCTGGAGCACCACAGTGGGGAAGGAGCTGCCTGGGAACATGTGACTTAGCTGGAGAAGCAGGACCTACCTGGGATCTCCAGCCACCAGTATCTGGTCTGGCTGGGGCAAAGGAGCCTGGCCACCAGCCGCTTGTTGCCACCCAGGTTTGACTTCTGTAGCCTGTCTTATAAGCACAAACCACCGCTGATGTGTTTGCGAGGGTTTTATGGCAAAAGGCGTGACAGAGACCTCCAGGGGCTGGCTGCCAGCTCAAAGCCCTGAAGGGTGGGCCATCCTGTCCCCCTAGGGTCACTGAGGTCAAGAGTCTGCTGGGTGCCCAACCAGTGTGGCCCAGTTGACTTTTGAACCAGGAGGTTGTGATTTGATTCCCGGTCAGGGCACACATCCGGGTTGCGGGCTCGCTTCCCAATGCGGAGCGTGCAGGAGGCAGCCGAACAATGATTCTCTCTCATCATTAATGTTTCTCTCTCTCTCTCTCTCTCTCTCTCCTCTCTGAAATCAATAAAAACACATTTTTTAAAAAGGACCTGCTGTGTCTCCTGGGGTGGGGCCTGGGCCCTGGCTGGGGCCCAGTTGGCCCTTGGCCACTGGGCTGAGATAACTGAGGGCTGCTGAGGTAGGCTTAGCTGCAAAGCCAGCAAAAGGAGCTCCGTACTCCACCCTGGGGCTGGTGAATCACCAGGACTTTGGGGGGGGGGGCGGGGGTTGTTGCCAATATCATCATGACACAGCAAGAATCTTATCGGGCCCAAGGGGAAGGTAGTCCAGAAACATTCCGAGGAAAGAAAGGGAGGTGCCGGGTTGCCAGGTCACTGAGCCCATGGCCTCTGGGGTCCAGGTGGGGAGACTGAGGCCCAGAGAGATGAGGGGCTCCCTGAGAACCATGCAGTCAGCCAATCCTATCCTAGTGGATTCCCAGTCGGGTCTCTTTCTCTTACTCCCATTCCTCTCTGTATCCGTGGAGGGAAGAGTCACCCCACGCTGGCCCAGATGGGGAAGAAAGGGATCTGCTGGGCCCAGGATTCTTCCCCTCATGCTGATCTGTAAGGAAAAACTGGTTTCTTTCTTAAAAAAATATATTTTATTTATTTATTATTGATTTCAGACAGGAAGGGAGGAGAGAGAGATAGAAGCATCAGTGATGAGAAAGAATCACTGATCGGCTGCCTCCTGCATGCCCCACACTGGGGATGGAGCCCGCAACCCAGGCATGTGCCCTGACCAGGAATGGAACTGTGACCTTCTGGTTGACACTTAACCACTGAACCACACCGGCCAGACAGAAACTGCTTTCTTTTACCCCAAAGTTTTCTGGACTGGGGCAGGAAGTACCTACACGCTCTTCTTGCTTGGGTTGGGAATCCTGATGAGGGGGGAAGTGGCTACACAGCAGGGGGAACAAACAGCAGCTTCAAGCCCATTGGGTAACCCCAGTGAGCCAGCATTACACTTCCGGAAGGAAGTTGGGTGTGTGGCGAGGGTTGGGTAAGCGGGTGGGGGAGGAGGAAGGGGCAGAGGTTGGCCACATGGGCCCAGGCTGCCCCGGGCGGGGCCCACCAGTCACTGGGGGTTCTATGTTTGCTCTTCCCTTTGCGTGGAGTGCTCCCCCAGGCCTGGCTCTGCAGCCCTCTCCTTATGAGATCTGGCTGCTAAGGGACAGGGGAGGTGACACAAAGGCCTACTTGTGTCTCCTATCACGTGCGCCACTCTGAATCCTTATTGGGTTGCTAAGTCACCTTGGGTCCGGAGCCCCCAGCACACAGGTCCCAGGGGGAGGGCGGGGCCTGTCTCTGTGCTTCAAGGAGGCACTTGATGGCCATTTGTTGGAAGAATGAACAGAAAACTCACTGCTTTCTCATAGTACCGCCCCACCTGCCTCCTGCAATGAAAGAGCAGGCATGAGAGGCCTGCCGCTGGGAGCTGTTCTACGTGCTGAGTGTGGGAGGCTGGCTCACCCAGCTCCAGCCCTTAAACAGGAGATGGAGAAATGGACAGGAGGACGGACACCCTCCCTGCGCTCCCCCACTCCACCTGCTGGAGCAACACTTCCTACTTCTGCTCTAGAAGCTTCTGATTATCACTCTAGGGCAGAGGAGAGCAAAGGGGAACCCTACTAGTTGCAAGGAAACAAAGTTGCCCAACCCCAAGCTGGTTACAGCTGAAGGCAGTGAGGAGTCACAGAATCAGCTCGGAGGCGAGTCCAAGGACCCCTGGCACTTGCTTCAAAAAACTCATTTGCGCCCAGCTGGTGTGGCTCAGTGGTTGAGCGTCAATCTATGAACCAAGAGGTCACAGCTCCATGCCCAGGTTGTGGGAGGCAACCGATGAATGATTCTCTCTCATCATGGATGTTTCTCTCTCTCTCCCTCTCTGAAATCAATAAAAATATATGAAAAAAAAAAAAAGGCGCCCTCATTTACTATGTAGAAACACAGGTTCAGAGAAGGGAAGACACCTGCCCCAGGTCACACAGCAAGCTTGGATGCTCTCAATGAAACATCTAAAATGTGAGGGCCTGGAGCTGTAAGCCATTTTTTAAAAATTTTATTGATTTTTTTACAGAGAGAAAGGGAGAGAGATACAGAGTTAGAAACATCGATGAGGGAGAAACATCGATCAGCTGCCTCCTGCACACTCCCTACTGGGACTGTGCCCGCAACCAAGGTACATGCCCCTGACCGGAATCAAACCTGGGACCTTTCAGTCCGCAGGCCGATGCTCTATCCACTGAGCCAAACCGGTTTCGGCTGTAAGCCATTTCTTGTGGCCTGGGATGCTCTGTTGGTGCATCCTGTGATAGGCTGGTATGGGGATGAGGGAAAGGAGGAGACATAATCCCAAGTTACTTTCTTTTCCAAACTATTTCCTGGCACAGTGGTTGGCAAACTCATTAGTCAACAGAGCCAACTATCAACAGAACAACAATTGCAATTTCTTTGGAGAGCCACATTGTTTAAACTTAAACTTCTTCAAACGCCGCTTCTTCAACATAAACTCGCCCAGGCCGCGGTGTTTTGTGGAAGAGCCACACTCAAGGGGCCAAAGAGCCGCAGTTTGCCGACCACTGTCCTAGACAAAGGGCCTAATGGTCAGAGTCCTAGGTCTCAAAGTTAGTGGCCAACACAGCTCCACTGGGGGGGGGCAGGCTTGGAGCCCAAGCCTTCCTCCCCGTGTTCCTCTTGTGCATCCCCCCCCCCCCCGACTTGGGCTTATGGGGAGGCAGAGGGTGATGCTTAAGGGGGACCTCCCTGCCCCCCACTGGCAGACCCTCCTCCTCGGCTCTCCTTTTCCAAGATGGTAGGGAGCAGGCTCTGCAAAGGGAACAAAGAACCAAGGTCCTCCAGAGCTGAGGGGGACCAAGATGTGAAAGGCACAGAGAGACAATGACTACACTGTCAAGAGCCAACTAGTTTTGGTAGAATTTTTTTTTTTTTTACAGAGAGGAAGGGAGAGGGATAGAAAGTTAGAAACATCAATCAGCTGCCTCTTGCACACTCCCCACTGGGGATGTGCCCGCCACCAAGGTACATGCCCTTGACCGGAATCGAACTTGGGGACCTTCCAGTCTGCAGGCCGACACTCTATCCACTGAGCCAAACTGGTTTCGGCGAATTCTTTTTTTTGGTTGTTAACCCTCTCCCGGGGATATTTTCCCATTGATTTATAGAGAGTAGAAGGGATGGGGGGAGAGAGAGAAAACACCCATGTGAGAGATACACATGGATTGATTGTCTCCAGCACGCACCCTACCCAGGCCTGCAACCCAGGTACGTGTGCTCTTGACTGAGAATTGAATCCAAGACCCTTCGGTCATCAGGCCAACACTCTAATCATCCACCAGGGCTTTTGGTAGAATTCTGGCTCAAGATTAAGTTACGGGCAAAAATGGTCATGCGCTGCTTAGCAGATCCTTTCAGAGCAAAATGATGGTGCCACTGGCTAGGCCATGGGGCTCAGCAGGCCTTGGAAGTCAAGGCAAAGAGGCAGCGTTCAAAGAAAGGATGGGAGTTTGTCCCCGGGGAACTTGACTCCCTAAGAGAGAGAGACAAGATGTAGATAGGGCCTCGGATCCCGCCTCTGGAATTAGTAGGCTGTGTGACATTTGTCAAGTCACAAACAGGTTTGAAAAAGACAGGCGTGGCATGAATAGCCTCCCCTGTCTGCACCTCACTTTTCCCCAGGGGGGAGGAAGCCCGATCAGACCGTCCCCAAGGACACAGGCCTGCAGTCAAGGGCTGCACAGAGATTTCAGAAATGCCTGGAAGTGAGTGTATTCCAGGCGGGGCTGGGGGGATCACGGCACAGAGGCAGGAACAAGAGGGGGAGCCCCAATGGCCCCCCAACAATCGGTTGGGGAAGCTCCGGCACCTGGCAGGAAAGGCTCTTAAGCAACATCGGGCTCTAACTTTGCATTTTCAGAGGCAGGGCCTAGGGGAGACTCACCGATGCCCCCATGATGATGAAGACATGTGTTTCGGACTGATGGAAGGCATCACCCTGGTACAGCTCTTCCCGCAGGATCCCGCACACCTGGGTCCGGCTCAGGTCCACCTGCTCTGCCATGATGCTCTCTGCTGAGAGAAAGACTTGTTGGCAAGGCAGGGGAACAGAAAAGTTTTGAGAACTTGGTCCCTCTCTTAAGGGGTCTTTTGAGCTCTCACCCAGCTGAGCTCTTACGATGGAAACCACTCACTGTGGATGGCGGGGGCAGGAGCAAAATGGGGGGGGGTAGAAATTTCTGGCTGTGGGTTCTGGCCATACTCCCCAGATCAGCCTCCTTTCCCGGTGTGCGTTACAAAGTTACACAAAGAACCGGTGGATTCCAACTGGAGCCTCCATTCTGGGGGAGTGAGCAAAACTCTGCTGGAGCATCTCACCCAGGAACCCAAGTGGAAACTCCCCCGTGAGCTGGAGCACGTGAGACCTTGCAGCTCCAGCCCTCCTCCGGCCAAGCTGGGAGACTCCGGCGAGTCCCGGTCCCTCTCAGGGTCTCAGTTTCCCCAGGGGTCCAATGGGGACGATTGGATGTGAGACCCTTTCATTCTGCCCGGCTACCCAGCGCGGCACATCGGAGGGCCTCGCGGCGCAGCAAGCCCGTCGGACGGCGTGACACTCACCCGCTTCGTTACCTGTGCCCTGTTGCCGCCGCTCGTCGCCGCGCTCGCAGCCCTGGAGTTGCTGGCCGTTTCCGGGGGCTGGGACCTGCCGGTCCATTTAACTAGCGGAGGAGGGCGCCCGGGCTGAGCTGACCGCCTCAGGCGAGGCGCGCGGGCGGGGCTTCCGCCGACCCCACCCTCGCGGGGGCGGGGCGCGGCGTGGGCAGATGCGCGCGCATCCCAGGCCGCCCCCACCCTTCGCCCGCCCCGCCCCTTGGGCACCTGCGCCGGTTCCTGAGCGGCGGTCAAGCTGCCGTTCCGGCCGCCACTGTTCCGCGTACCTGACGCCTAGCAGGTTCGGGGGCAGCTCTGGCCGTTTGCTCACTTATCCATCGCAGGTTCGGCCCCGCCCATGCAATCGGCTTTCTCCTCCGACCGCTGGCTCCACATCCGCCGGCGGCGTGGCCACGCCTCCTGGACCCCCGTTTACGGCTTGGCCCCGCCTCCTGGTCCAGACAGGTCGCCGGCTAGGGTCAAACCGGTCCAATTAAATCGCCTCGTCGTGACTCCTCCCCCTGCGGGGGCGGGGCAGCCGCGCGACCTGGGGCTGGATGCCGCGGCCAGAGAGACTAGGCGAAATGTGGGCTTGATGCCGGGAAAAACAGCGGGTGGTCACGTCACTAGGGAACGTACCGAGGGCCGGCGGAGGCTGGCGGGCTCCGGCTTCTTGGGGAACAGCCTCCTTCACACCTCTTGCCGGCCGCCTGGTCGTGGGCAGGGCTTATGTGTTTTTCTTCCGGATACCGTGGCAACGACACCGGAAGCCGGAAGTGGGGGTTTCAGCCGCCGGAGAAGGGAAGAGCTACCGCGGAATCGGGACTTGGAGTGACGGACTCGAGGAGCCCGGATACCGTGGCAACGACACCGGAAGCCGGAAGTGGGGATTTCAGCCGCCGGAGAAGGGAAGAGCTACCGTGGAATCGGGACTTGGAGTGACGGGCTCGAGGAGCGCTCGCGATCCGCTGCTCCCGCCCTTCTCCCGTCGGATCGATTCTGCTGACAGGTGTGGCCCTCTTCCCCGAAGACAGGAAGACAGGGTACCATCGGTGGGCGGCCCACCGCCTCCTAGATTCCCCCGGACGTCCAGGCTTCCTACTCCTGTTGGGCCCCGGTCCGTTTCTGCTGCCCGCTCCTAGGGCATTGGCCCAGGCGGGGCCAATGCTGGACCCAGGTTACTTTGGCGGCGAGCTTGACTGTTCCGCTTGTCCCTCCTCCGTGGCTGCGGAGTTTGACCACGCCCCTAGTTCGTGAATGACTCTTCTAGTTCGGAGACATTTTCTGTTCATCAAACTTGACTGCATTTGAGGTTGTTAAATTCTTTAAAAAGATCCCAATACAGTTTGGCAGCGATCTTACCTCCATGTGCCTCCGTTTGCTCACTTTGCAAAAACGATTACTGTCTACCCGACCTCATACCGTGTGTGTGTGTGTGTGTGTGTGTGTGAGAGAGAGAGAGAGAGACTCGAGAATGAATGGTCCATCCTGGCATGTTTTTAAAACAGCAAAGAGGCCACTGTAGCTGGATCGGAGTAAGACACCTGGAGAGGAAGTAATGGGGAATCAGATAGTACCGGATCTTTAGGCTCTACTAGAAACTTTGGCTTTTGCACGGGGGGAATGAGGATCCATGGTAGGCGTCTGACTAGAGCAGGGAAGTGATTGGAATTACTTTTTTAGGCTGATTTTTCTGGCCGATTATAGGGAGCAAGGTTAGGAACAGGATGGCCTGATAGGAGACATGGTACTTTGAGCATTTTATTATGAAAATTTAAAAGATGTACAAAAGTAGGAAGAATCGTATAGAAAACCCCATGTACCCACATTCCCAGCTTGAACAATTATCAACTCATGGCCGATTTTGTTTATACCCCTTATAATCTTGCCTCATTATTATTATTGCTCAAGAACAGCTTTATTGAGATATAATTCACATACTACAGAATTCACCCATTTAAAGTGTACAATCCACTGGTTTTTAGGATATTCAGAGTTGTACAACCATCACTGGTAATTCCAAAACATTTTCATCATTTCAAAAAGAAACCCTTTGCCCTTTAGCTATCACCTCCATCACTCCATCTCCCCTACCTCTAAGCATCCACTAAGCTTTCTTTTTAAAAAAACAAAACAAAAACTTTTTAGTTATTTCAGAGAGAGGAAGGGAGAGCGAGAATCATTGATTGGCTGCGTCCTGCACGCTTCCTACTGGGGATGAAGCCCACAATCTGGGCATGTGCCTTGACCAGGAATTACACAGAGACTTCCTGGTTCATGGGTTGATGCTCAACCACTGAGCCACCCGGACAGGGCAGCTTTCTGTCTTTATATATTTGCTTATTCTGTACATTTCATATAAACAGAATCATACAATATGTGGTCTTTTTAAAAAAATATATTTTATTGATTTTTTACAGAGAGATAGAGGGTTAGAAACATCGATGAGAGAGAATCATCGATCAGCTGCCTCTTGCACACCTCCTACTGGGGATGTGCCCGCAACCAAGATACATGCCCTTGACCAGAATCGAACCCGGGACCTTTCAGTCTGCAGTCCGTCGCTCTATCCATTGAGCCAAACCGGTTTCGGCCAATATGTGGTCTTTTGTGAGTTGTTTCTTTCTCTTATTTTTTGTTAATCTTTACCTGAGCATATTTTTCCATTCATTTTTAGACAGAATGGAAGGGAGGGGGGAAAGACAGAGAAATCATCGATTGGTGATTGATTGCCTCTAGTAAGGCCAGGCTGGAGATAGAATGTGCAACCAAGGTATGTGCTCTTGACCGGAAATCCTTCAGTGTGTGGGCTGGCTCTCTAACCACTGAGCACACCGGCCAGGGCATGAAATTCTTAATTTCAGCTTATAGCCCAGAGACAGGTGCTAGACAAGAATTTCTAACCAGTGCTGAACCATGGCTTTTCCCAAGTCCCACATGTGGGCCTGCACCTCCCTTTGGAATGGGAGTATGGGTCACCTCTTAGACCAAAAAGCCCACTCTCACATCCTGTTATACTAGACAGAGTGCTCGGCATTCTGCCCACAGCATGGCCCCAGAGCTGCTGACATCTGCGCTCCTTGTTCTGCAGGGGAATCCGCACAGGTCCCGTGTGACGCTCCTGCTGCCTTTCTCTTCCAAACCTTGACTTGTTGAATGAGCAGGCCCCCCTGGAAGAGTCCGCAGTGTGAGATGGTGCAGCCCAGCGGGGGCCCGGCTGGGGACCAGGACGTGCCGGGTGAAGAGCCTTCTCTGGGGAAGCCAGCCATGCTCCACCTGCCTTCGGAGCAGGGTGCTCCTGAGACCTTCCAGCGCTGCCTGGAGGAGAATCAAGAGCTCCGAGGTGAGGAGGACAGTGGGTGTGGAGTCAAAAGTCAGGGGGCCCAGCCTTGCTGGGGGAAGGCTTATTCTGTTCACCTGTGCCTCTGCGTCTACTGGGTCTAGTACTAAAGTGACCAGATCGTCCCGCTTTTGGCGGGACAGTCCCGATCTTTAACAATTTTTCCCACGTCCCGAGGCATTTAAAAAAAAGTCCCGATTTTTGGAAATATTGGAAAGATTCTTTCCAAAAATTGGGACTTTTTTAAAACGCCACAGGACACGGGAAAAATTGTTAAAGATAGGGACTGTCCCGCCAAAAGCAGGACGATCTGGTCACCTCTAGGCGAATATCTTGACAGCCAGCTAGCAAGTCAAGCTCAGTCACCCTCCCTCAGCGTTTCGGATGGGGTTCCCTGGATGCATGCTGTGAGACAGAGATAAATATGCAGGCAGTTTCTTCTTTTAGAGAATTGATTTCAGAGAGGAAAGGAGAGAGAGATAGAAACGTCAGCGATGAGAATCATTGATCAACTGCCTCCTGCATGCCCCCCACTGGGGATGGAGCCCACAACTCAGACATGTGCCCTGACTAGTAATTGAACCATGATTTCCTGGTTCATAGGTAGATGCTCAACCACTGAGACACACTGGCTGGGTAGGAAGTTTATTTAGAGTACTCTGAGGACCAGAAGTGGAAGGGAAGGGAAGGGTAGGGAAGGGAAGGGAAGGGAAGGGAAGGTCAGGACAAAGGCAGGGGTGGCAGAGGGAGAAGTTGGGCTGCAGTGCTGGCCGATCTTACAGGGAGCTCTGGAGCTGGAATGACCCTTCTGAGTTCTCCCAAGTTGAGCCAAGGTGGCCAGGCCTTTGTATTTCCATATTGATTAGTCATTAAGTGCTGGCTATCCTGGGAAGGAGGCGTGGCCTTCTGTGGGAAGGGGCGTGACTTTCTGTGAAAAGGGGGCGTGGTCTTCTGTGGGAAAGGGCGTGGCCTGTCCTGGGAATGTGGGCTGCTTTGGGAAAGAAAGGGAGGAGTCTTGGGCTCCAAGTGTCTCTGTGAAGAGTCCTCAGCTGAAGGCCATCCTCCACTGCCTCTTCCCCACTTGTGGATGGGGGTTGAGTTTTTTTCTGACCACCCCATCCCTGTCTCCACCACAGCCTCCACTCTCACCCCCACATCCTCACCTGAATCGGGGCAGTTTCTTCAGGTCCCAGTGGCCATTACACTGTGCCCATCTGGCGCCATGGCTGTCCCTGGGTGTCGGGCATTCCCCCTCCTCTTGTGTGATGGGGCCTCACCCCTTGATCATGCCTCTGGGGCTTCAAATCTGCCCCTTTGGTACTTAGGCGTAGCCCCACGTGCCCAGGTGGCATCACAAGATTCTCATTCAGTGAGACTCGGTGTGAGAGGTGGCTCGGTGTTACGGGGAGTGCACTGTGCCAGGCCCACCTCCCCTTGGCTGTTTTCTCTGCTGCCAGATGCCATCCGGCAGAGCAACCAGATGCTGCGGGAGTGCTGTGAGGAGTTGCAGCGGTTCCAGGGCAGCCAGAGGGAGGAGAAGGAGTTCCTCATGCAGAAGTTCCAGGAGGCCAGGAAGCTGGTGGAGAGACTGAACCTGGAGAAGCTGGACCTGAAGAGACAGAGGGAGCAGGCCCTACAGGAGGTGGAGCACCTGAAGCGATGCCAGCAGGTAGCCCAGGGGGCAGGCAAGGCTTCTCCCAGGGGCGGCCCAGCTAGGGTAAGGGGCCCAGACGTCCCACTTTTGGCGGGACAGTACCGATTTTTAACAATGGTCCCGCTTCAAAATTGTTAAAAATCGGGACTCTCCCGCCAAAAGCGGGATGTCTGGGCACCTTAACCTAGGGGCTCTGGCCACCTGTGCGACCAGCCTCATGCATTCTGAAAACCCAAAGGGATGTCAGTGTTTCCAGAGGGGACCCCCAGACCACCCTCAGGTGTGGCGGTTACTATGGAGGGGTTACGCACAGGGGTCAGTGATGGGAGGACTGAGTCTCAGCTCTGGGCTAGAGCAGCTTGAGGTTACGGGGATCTGGTTCGGAGGGAGATCAGGCAGTGGTGAGTTTTGACATCGTTTTTTAGAAATATATTAAAAAAATTAATTTCACAGAGGAAGGGAGAGTGAGAGAGACATAGAAATACCAATGATGAGGGAGAATCACCAAATGGCTGGCTCCTGCATGCGCCCCACCAGGGACTGAGCCTGCAACCCAGGCATGTGCCCTGACTGCGAATGGAACCGTGTTCTCCCGGTTCATAGGTCGACATTCAACCACTGAGCCACTCCGGCTGAGCAACTTTTTTTTTTTAAATACTCACCCGAGGATATTTTTCCATTGATTTTAAGAGAGAGTGGAAGAGAGGGAAAGACAGAAATATCAATGTGAGAAAAACACATCGATTGGTTGCCTCCTGCACGAGCCCTGTCCAGGGCTTGGGATGGGGAGGAGCCTGCAACCAGGTCTGTGCCCTTGACTGTGCCTTTGGTCCTCAGGCTGACGCGCTATCCACTGAGCCAAACCGGCAAGGGCTCTTTAAAAAAAAAAAATTAGCCTGGAAACTTGATCTATACATTTCCCCCCCCCTTTTTAAATAGATTTTTATTGATTTCAGAGAGGAAAAGAGAGGGAGAGAGAAACATCAATGATGAGAGAGAATCATCTATCGGCTGTCTCCTGCATGCCCCACACTGGGAATTGAGCCTGCAACCCAGGCATGTGGCCCTGATCGGGAATCGAACTGTGATGTCCTGGTTCATAGGTCGATGCTCACCTTCTGAGCCACACCGGCTGGGCTGGACAACTTTTGAATTTTGTCGCTGGCAGAGGTCTTAGTTAGTGTCTAGTCTCAGAGAGGCTGAGAGATTCCTGCAGGGCCTGGTCCTCAGTGTTAGGAGACTCAAGGCCGCTCTGTGCTGGGTCTCACCATACCCCATCCTCAGAGATGAGAGGCTCATGGGACTCACCCCCTTTCGGTTGCATCAGTTGCCTTGCTGGGGTTTGGAAACTGCTGGAGATAAGTGGGGGTGCCAAGGGCAGGAGAGAAACCCTCAGGGTGACACATCTTAGCGCTTGCAGGCTGCCCCAGAGTGTGGGGCCCCCAGGGGTGGGCAGCTGGTGAGAAAGCATTGCTGACAGGAAGTGGTTTTTTTCCATGTAGCAGATGGCTGAGGACAAGGCCTCGGTGAAAGCCCAGGTGACGTCCTTGCTGGGGGAGCTCCAGGAGAGCCAGAGTCGCTTGGAGGCTGCCTCCAAGGATCGGCAGGCTTTGGAGGCCAGGTGAGTGGCGAGCCCACTCGCCAGAGGCCTGGAGGCCTCTGTCAGGGCACCTGAGAAGACTGAGGCCATTTAGATATCTCTGGGCGTTCCTCTATGATGTGGGATTGGAGGACTGGGAGTGAGCATAGGGGCGTAGAGACAGGTGCTTAGCTGAGCTGTGCCCTGACCAGGAATCGAACCGTGACCTCCAGGTTCACAGGTCAATGTTCAGTTACTGAGCCATGCTGACTGGGCATCAGCACCTAACTTTCATCTGATAACAGATGCAAATGTGTGTTCAATAAACACACACACACACACACACACACTGAGTGGCCAAATTATTATGATCTCTGAACGCATAATAGGGCACTCAGTGTATATCCTATATAATAAAAGGCTGATATGCAAATTGTCCCCTCCACCAGGAGTTTGATCAGCAGGCAGGCCGGCCAACCACCCATGTCTCCTCCCCCTGGCCAGGCTGGACGGACCCCACCCCACCCATGCACGAATTCATGCACCTGGCCTCTAATGTATATATACTGAGTGGCCATATTATTATATATTCAGATATCTTAATAATTTGGCCACTCAGTGTATATTTGGATGGGTGTGGGGAACAAACTCCAGTAACCTGCCCCCACCCAGAAACACTCACTGTTGCCCCCCTAGTGGGGCCTGTGGAAGGCCTCGGGATGGCAGGGTGATATGTTGGAACCTGGAACTGTAGATTTAGGGGGATATGAATGTGGAGATGGGAGATCGGGGACTGTGGGGTAATATGGGGCCTGAATCGGAAGACTGGGGGCTGTGGGGCGCCCAGGGGAGAAGAGACGAGCTGCTACAGCAGGGGTACAGAGGGAAAGAGGAATTTCCTTCCCAGGCTACTGCTGCCCCCAGGCAGGCCGGCGGGAGGCTCTCCTCACAGGTGTGGATGTTTGGATTTCCAAATGAGCCACTGAGGTGGGCCAGTCACTTCCTTGCCACTTCTAGAATAGTCACTGGGAGAGAGAGAGTTGCCTGAGCACACTGACCCTGCCTCCCCCCCCAGTCGCCCCACCCGTTTCTTTTAAAAAAAATATTTTTATCAATTTCAGAGAGGAAGGGAGAAGGAGAGAGAGCGAAACATCAATGATGAGAGAGAATTATTGATCGGCTGCCTCCTGCACACCGCACACTGGGGATGGAGCCTGCAACCTGGGCATGTGCCCTGACTGGGAATCAAACCATGACCTCCTGGTTCAAAGGTCGATACTCAACCATTGAGCAACACTGGCCGGCCACTCCCACCCTATTTCTTACCTTGCTCCCCCCACCTTCTAGAAAGTCTTATTTTTTTCTGGCTGCCTCCACTTCCTCTCCTGCCAATCTCTCCTGGCCCCTCCACTGAGACTTCTCTGCCTGGGCCCCCATTCCCCGCCTCTTGGTCCCTACGAGGTGGTTCCTGAGAGCTCCTCTCCCCTGGCCGCAGCAGCATCCTCTTCTGGGGTCACTCTTTCACCTTTGAAGGGGCTTCCATAATGGACGGCATCAGCCTGAACCCGAGCCCCAGGTCTCCTTGGCGCCTGCACTGGGTTGTTGGCTGGGCCCCTGCATTGACACAAACACGTTGCCCCTAACCTGGTGCCCTGCGGTTGTCCCTGTCTCCAGTGACAGTGCCTCCTTTGTTTTGTTTTGTTATCCTCACCCCAGGATATTTTTCTATTGATTTTTAGAGAGAATGGAAGGGAGGGGAGAGACCCAGAGAGAAACATCGATGTGGGAGAGACACATCGATTGGTTGCCTCCCGCATGTTCCCTGACTAAGGCCGGGGATCGAGCCTGCATCTGAGGTACGTGCCCTTAACTGGAATCAAACCTTGGACCCTTCAGTCTGAAAACTGATGTCCTATCCACTGAGCCAAACTGGCTAGGGCAACCTCCCCCTTTCTCTCACTGTGTTGGGTCTGCATTGACAGGATGTTCTGAACCACGACTCCCCGTCTTCTCCCCTCAGACTGCAGAGCTTCTAGTGCTCCCTGGCTCCCACCTGCCTTCCCCAGGGCTCCTGTGAGCACCCTCACTCCTGCTGGGGCCCCACCGTGACCTCCCCATTCCCCCACGCAGGGCCCGGGCAGCCAGTGAGCAGGCCCGGCAGCTGGAGAGCGAGCGGGAGGCGCTGCAGCAGCAGCACAGCGTGCAGGTGGACCAGCTGCGCATGCAGAACCAGAGCATGGAGGCTGCTCTGCGTATGGAGCGCCAGGCTGCCTCTGAGGAGAAGTGAGTGGTGCCTGACGTGAGAGGGATGGAGACCAGAGGGGGACGGTGGCTTTCTGCCTGTGGGAGAGCCCTTTTAGGGACTGTCGGTGGCTGCGCTCTGGATTCAGTTCCTTAACCATTGTCACACCCAAGTGATTCAGACTTGAAATGACAGCATTCTCCAGGCCATATTCAGACTCCACTGTTTGGCCACGTGTTTGCAGCATCTGGTCCAGGATCCTTCATTCCTCTTGTTGGTGTACCTTTGACTAGTCCTGCCTTTCTGTTTTTCATGAAGTTGACTTTTTGTTTTGTTTTGTTAATCCTCACCTGAGGATATTTGCCCCATTGATTCTTTTAAAAAATATATTTTATTGATTTCTTTACAGAGAGGAGGGGAGAGGGATAGAGTTAGAAACATCGGTGAGAGAGAATCATCGATCAGCTGCCTCTTGCACGCTCCCTACTGGGGATGTGCCCACAACCAAGGTACATGCCCTTGAATGGAATCGAACTTGGGACCTTTCAGTCTGCAGGTCGACGCTCTATCCACTGAGCCAAACTGGCTAGGGCCCCCATTGATTTCTTATTTTTCAATTTCATTTATTTTTTAAATGTTTTTATTTTTAATATTTTTAGGGAGAGGGATAGAGAGATGGAAACATTGATGAGAGAGAAACATCATCAATTGGCTGACTCCTGCACGCCCTCCACAGGGGCCTAAGCCCACAACCCAGTCATGCCTGACCAGGAATCGAACTGGTGACCTCTTGGTTCTTGGGTCAAGGCTCAATCGCTGAGCTATACCAGGCCAGGCTTCCTATTGATTCTTTAGAGAGAATGTAAGGGAGGGGGAGAGACAGAGAGAAACATCGATGTGAGAGACACATGGATTGGTTGCCTCCCACATGTGCCCCAACCAGGGTCAGGGATCAAGCCTGCAACCGAGGTACATGCCCTTGACCAGAATCAAACCTGGGACCCTGCAGTCCATAAGCTGACACTATCCACTGAGCCTTCCTGGCTAGGGTGTGAAGTTGACTTTTTTTTTTTTTTGAAGTTGACTTTTTTAAAGAGTGCAGTTTCATTTTATTATACACATTTCTTTTCATACTTCAAAATAGGCTAGCTATGAGGAAAATAATATTAACTATGTAGCCAAGCATGCCTTGGAACTGATGGCCTCTGAGGCACGTATGTGCCCTGGCAGCCCCATTCGGGTTTGTGGGAGGAAGAAAGAGGGCGGGGTTGGAGACAGGAAAAGCTGTGGCTGGTCCAGGACAGGGTGGTTTCTCCAGTGAAAGCTCCTTTTTCTTAGGAGGAAGCTGGCGCAGCTCCAAGCAGCCTATCACCAGCTCTTCCAAGATTATGACAACCACATGAAGAGTAGCCTCGTGAGTAATGAGCGAAACCGAGTGAGTATGGCGGGCACACCCAGGGACTGTCTAGAACTGGGCTGGCCCGGCTACTCCCCTATGGGGCCTGCTCTCCCAAATGCGAGGGAGGGACACTACTTATCTTAGAGTTTTGTCAAGGCCGAAGTGTGCTGGCTCAGGGTAGACTGCGGGGAGATGGGGACACGGGTTGTGCTGCTTGCTGCCTGTGATGACCTGGGTTGGGTCTCCACCCTGGTTGGGCAGGGTCCTCTTGCTAGCCGTCACCAGTTTGGCTCCTAGCTCCGATTTCTCTGGGAATGATTCCATCTCAGTGTTGAAGTCAGCGGGGACTTCAACACTGAGATGGAATTTGTCCTTTTCTAATTTGTCCTTATTAGACCTCTACTGAGTTCAGTTTTTTTTTTTTTTTTAATATGTTTTTATTGATTTCGGAAAAGATGGGAGAGGGAGGGAGAGAGAAACATCAATGATGAGAGAGAATCATCAATCGGCTGCCTCTTACACACCTAGTACTGGGATTGAGCCTGCAACCCCGGGCATGTGCCCTGATCAGGAATCGAACCATGACCTTCTGGTTCATAGGTCGACGCTCAACCACTGGGCCATGCTGGCTGGGCTGGGTACAGTTTTTAGTCACCACAATTTAAGAAGGAGCTGGTCAAACACGAATATACGCAGAAGAGACTTATAAGGGGAAAGCCTGAAACCAGTCACACAGGAAGAGTTAGTTGCCATATTGTGGCCCTTTAATCTCTAAAGGAATGGCTGGGTGGTGTGTGTGCATGCATGTGTCCTTGTGTCTGTGCATCTGTGCATGTGCCTGTCTGTATATGTGTCTGTTTCTGTGCTTGTGTATTTTTGCTATGTCTGAGTGCATCTGTGTATGTGTGTGTCTGAGTGCGAGTATCTGTATGTGTGTATGTGTGTGTGTGTGTGTGTGTATGTGGGTGTCTGGGAGGGACCAGCAGACCTTTGACCAGGTGGCAGAATGGAAGGATCAATGCGTTTTGGGGTAGTGGGCACGTGGTGGAGTGTTTGTGAGACCAGCTCAGCGTGGGCGCGCGGCCTCCGGAGTGAGCATGGCTCTTGACCTTGGGCGTGTTGGAGGAGGGCTGTCCAGCTGGGATTCTGGGAAGGGAGTGTCGGCCTGGGTGGGAGCTTGTGCCAGATGACCTCAGGGGTCCCCTTCAGCCTCCACCTTCCCGTGCCCTGCACACACTGCCATCTTGTGGCTGGCAGGCCACCTGGGGCCGATCTTTTGTTCCTCTTGGTTCTTCTTGCCCAAAGTAGCAGCCGGCCTGGGAGTGGCCCGACCCCGGGCCGGGCCAGCTCGGGCTTCATCAGCTCCCCTCGCCCATCCCCAGGGAATGCAGCTGGAAGATCTCAAGCAGCAGCTCCAGCAGGCCGAGGAGGCCCTTGTGGCTAAGCAGGAATTGATCGATAAGCTGAAGGAAGAGGCTGAGCAGCACAAGATTGTGATGGAGACCGTTCCGGTGCTCAAGGCCCAGGTGAGGGGTCTGTGGCCTATATGCCGGCGAGCAGGCCAGGCCTGCTGTCGCTGACACTGGCACCGGCACCTGGCATGTCTCTGGTGTCGTTTTGCAGTGGCTTCTAGAAGCTCTTAGAGCCCCTCTGACCTTGTGACTATACTTTGGCCTCCCAGTGCACCTGGGGACTCTCTGTGCCACGGGCCATGGGAGGGTGGAAGCGGGCTCTGCCTTTGCCTCTGGTGTCCAGCACAGTGTCCAGTGAGTGGCTGACGGATGGGGGGGACACGTTCCTCTCTCTTGGCGTTGCCAGGCGGATATCTACGAGGCTGATTTCCAGGCTGAGAGGCAGGCCCGGGAGAAGCTGGCCGAGAAGAAGGAGCTGCTTCAGGAGCAGCTGGAGCAGCTGCAGCGGGAGTACAGCAGGCTGAAGGCCAGCTGTCAGGAGTCGGCCAGGTAGGTCTGGGAGCATGTGGCCCACGCAGAGCAGAGCGGGATGGGTGCTGTGGGGGCTCCAGCAGCGAGCGCAAGAGACCGCGGGCTTCTGGCCCTCCGGCTCTCCTCCTGCCGCCCCGTCCTTCCGTCAGCTTTGCACCCCGCTCGGAGCTTGGCTTGCACGTATTGATTGCACAGTTTCTCTTCTCAAAGGATTGAAGATATGAGGAAGCGGCATGAGGTCTCGCAGCCCCCTGCCCAAGGTGAGAGCTGCAGGAGGAGGGGCTGGGGAGGGCAGGGTGCTGGCATTGGTACTTGGATCCGATGGTCCGATCAGGTCTCAGTACTTTCTGTCCCCTCCCCGCCTGCAGTTTGTGCTGTAACTGTGTGCCTGTTCTCCTTCTGCAGCTCACCAGTCCTTTCACCACGCCTTGTTCAGCCAGAGGAGAAGCCCCCCCGAGGAGCCGCCTGACTTCTGCTGCCCCAAGTGCCAGTATCAGGCTCCTGACATGGACACCCTGCAGATCCACGTCATGGAGTGCATTCAGTAGAGTCGCCTGCCAGCGACCAGCCCAGGACAGTGCAATCTCCGCTCTCCTCTCCCGCCTGCTCTTCCAGGTGAGGTGACGAAGAGCAGGCTGCTTCTTTGAGCGCCCCGAGCTAGCTGCAGGGACTTCCGCTTCCGCTTCCCCGGCCGCTGGTTTGCCTCTTTCAGGGCCCACGGGGTCCCAGCCTGACGCCGTGCTCGTTTCGTCCGTTCTGCATGCTTGAACCACTTGCCTCTCGGGCTCCCTCTTCCACCTCCACTGGGGAAGTCAGGAATCAAGGTCAAGGCTCTCAGAGAAGGACAGCTTCACAGCCTGAGATGGGAGGGAGCCCTTTCCTCTGGCCCAGCTCCAGCACATGCGCTGCTGGCACAGTCCTGGGCTCTGTGCTCTTCCGCTGGGAGGCTGCATCACGGCATTTGCCTTGTTGCCAGTCCTTTTATTGTCATAAATAATGACGCAGTGAAAATGCATTGGGTCAACCTTGTGTGTCTTTGGGTCAGATTCTTAGAAGCGGCCACACTGAGCATTTGCAAACGGGGTAGATGGTGCCGGTGCCCCCCAGTGTGGTCTCCCCTCGTTCCCCATAGCCTTGCCCTGGTGAGGGCATAGTCAACCTGTGAATGGCCTGTTTGTATCGGTTGACCAGTTTGCTCTTGAGCTGTTAGTCTCTTGTTCCTCGCTTTGTAGGAGCTCTTTGGCCCTTAGTGGGGTCAGCTCTGCCATGTGGTGGAAGGTGCAGTGATCTTTTTCCCACCATGACTTGGTACTAGCGCGGTTTGGACTTGAAGTTTGTTATCTTTGCGTAGGCACATTTTCCCACCCTTCCCCCCTGCTTTGGGTTTGGAGTTGTGGCCACCTCATGGTCTGACAGGCGGAGGGGGGATGCTTCTCACAAGCACACTTTAAAAAAAATATATGTATTTGTATTGATTTCAGAGAGGAAGGGAGAAGGAGAGAGAGAGAAACATCGATGATGAGAGGGAATCATTGATTGGCTGCCTCAGGCACGTCCCTGACCAGGGATCGGGCCCACAACCTGGGTATGTGCCCTGACCGGGAATCGAACCGTGACTTTCCTAGTCTATAGGTAGATGTTCAACTATGCTGGCCAGCTGAAAGTACACTTCAAAGTTATATATATATTATATATTGATTTCAGAGAGGAAGGGAGAGGGGGGGAGAGGAACATAAATGATGGATACAATAGAAATATCATTGATCAGCTGCCTCCTGCACGCCCCCTACTGGGGATGGAGCCCACATCCTGGGCATGTGCTCTGACCAGGAGTTGAACTGTGACCTCCTGGTTCACAAGCTGATGTTCAACCACTGAGCCACACCAGCCAGGCTCCCAAGTATACTTTTCCTTTTCCCAACACCAAAGCATGCTCTTGTCCTTCCCGAGGTCATCACCACCCAGGGTGAGTGGTGGCAGTCATGTTTCCTCATGTTCCACAAGTCTGATGCTGTTCCAGCAGATGTGAGTGGGAGGAGGGGGTAGGCTGCAGTACGATGGAGCTGTTAGACCAGCTGCGCCCTGGGTGGTGGCTCCTGGCTTTGTACTTCTCACAGAGTGAGCAAAGGCACGTAGGAGTCCTTCTCTGACCAGCTCTCTCTTCCGAAGGGAGGTTGAGAGAAAGCAGGTAATGACACAGCAGTGAGAGGTGGACATTCTTTTTTGGGGGGGACTTCCCCCCCCAAATGTTTCTGCCCTGGCCTGGACCACCTGTCAGAGGCTGAACACGGCACTAGCTGTGGCTGGGAACCTCTGCTCTTTTTTTTTTATATATATATTTATTGATTTTAGGAAGGAAGGAAAGATAGAAACATCAATGATGAGAGAGAATCATCGATCAGCTGCCTCTTGCACGCCCCACACTGAGGATTGAGCCCTCAACTTGACTGGGAATCAAACCTTGACCTCCTGGTTCATAGATTGATGCTTAACCACTGAGCCACACTGGCCGGGCTGCTTCATCATTTGTAGCTGCCAAAAGTTGTGGTGAAAGAGGAGGCTTCCCTCTGGTCCACATGGGCCCACACAGCAAGGCTTGTGAACATCTTGCAGTGTGGAGCGTGCTCTGTAGCAGTTTGGTGTGAAAAAGCCAGTAGACAAAATTATGTATAAAGTATGACCCCAATAAAAAAGTAAAAGTTGTCGAAACCGGTTTGGCTCAGTGGATAGAGCGTTGGTCTGCAGACTGAGAGGTCCCAGGTTCAATTCCGGTCAAGGGCATGTACCTTGTTTGCGGGCACATCCCCATTGGGGGGTGTGCAGGTGGCAGCTGATCAATGTTTCTCTTTCATCGATGTTTCTGTTTTCTATTCCTCTCCCTTCCTCTCTGAAAAAATCAGTAAAATATATTTTTAAAAAGTAAAAGCTGCAGATGCACACCCTGTCACCATTTGGGTGGGAAATGGTATTATTGTCTTTTGAACAAAAAAACAAGACCCTTTCTCTTAAGGATACAAACCAGTATTTGTGCATGAAATTAATATACGATGCTTTGTTAAGTGAGCTGTGAGAACATTCATAATTCTTCTATATAAATGTTTGCATAACATTAGGAATAGCTGCTCTTTGAATGCTTGGTAAAATTGCTTAGATGTAATGGTTTTCATATGGGTGAGGGTAGATTTTAAACCACTGATTCAATTTTCTTGAAAATTTCTTGAATTTAGTTGTACTCAGGTTTTTTGTTTCTTGAGTAAGTTATGTTTTCTTAGCACAGTGTTCAGTTAATCACTTCAAATTTACTGCAATAAATTTATCCTTTCATTTAAAAATCTTTGCTGTACTGTATTATATACTTTTTACTCGTAATATTTCTATTCAGAATGTGTAACTTTAAAAAAATCAATCTTTCCAGATATTTGTCTAGTTTATTTCTCTTTTCAAAGATGCCTGGGGAATCCTTTAAAACATGTTTCCAGCCCTGGACAGTGTGGCCCAGTGGGTTGGGACATTGTCCTATGCAGAGAAAGGCTGATTCCTGGTCAGGTCACACACCTAGGTTTCAGGTTTGATCCCCAGTCAGAGTGTGTATGGGAGACAACTGATCAATGTTTCTCTCTTGCTTGGATGTTATTTCTCCCTCTCCCTTCCTCCCACACTTTTTTGTGCTTTTTAAAGAATACATATTTTTATTGCTTTCAGAGAAGAAGGGAGAGGAAGAGAGAGATAGAAATATAAATGATCAGAATCTTTGATCAGCTGCCTCCTGCACACCCCACATTGGGGATCAAGCCCATAACCCTGACCGGGAATTGAACCATGACCTGGTTCATAGGTCAATACTCACCTACTGAGCCATACTGGCTGGGCACCTTTTTGTGATTTTAAGTTTCTCTATCCCAAAACAGGAGGCAGTAGACTATATAATAATCCACAAATGTATATTCCATAGCTATTTTAACCAGTCCCCTATGTATAGGCCTTTATTCGGTTCTCATTTTTTATTATTATAAACAGTGCTGAAATCAATATCCTGGTACATTTGTTTTTGTGCAATATATATTTAGAAGGGGAATTGTTGGGTTGAAGTATAATCCCTTTTAAAGGTATTTGGTCCATGGAATACTATGCAGCTGTAAAAAGAAGAATCTTTTACTCTTTGAGATAGCATGGAGGGACCTGGAGAGTATCATGCTAAGTGAAATAAGCCAGTCAGAGAAAGACAAGTATCACATGATCTCACTCATATGTGGAATCTAATTAATAAACCGATGAACAGAGTGGATTCAGAGACATGGGAGCATGGAACAGAGTGCAGAATGTTGGAGGAAGGTGGGTGGGTGCGAAGAGATCAACCACAGAACTTGTGTGCATATATGCATAGCCCATGGACACACACAATAGGGTGGTAAAGGCCTGGGGCAGGGCAGGCTGGAGGGGGTCAATGGGGGAAAAGAGGGAGGCATATGTAATACCTCCAACAATATTCAAAACAAAACAAAATGAAAAGGTATTTGATACATATCATCAAATTGCCTCCCAAAGTTTGCACCAATTTGAACTCCAACTAATTGTGTATGAAAGACCATTTTCCCACTACCCACCTCACACAGAATATGTTCAATCTTTTACATTTTTGTAAAACTAAATACAGATAGTAACTGAAATCACATCTCAGCAGTGTTCCACTTTCCTTTTGATTTTAATACAATTGAATGATAATGTGTGTGACATTTGCCCAGTAGCATCTAGTCATCTGAGAATTGTCTATCTGGGACAGTCATGTTTTTCATATTGATTAGTAAATATTCTGTACACGTTCAGAATATCAAATCTTTATCCTAATTGGAAAATACTTTCCCTACTCATTGCTGCATTTTAACTTTGTTCACAGTCCTTTTCTACGCATAAATAAAAAGTGTAAATGTATTCATGTGATCCATTTTTCATGATGTTTCCTGGATGTTGTGTCCTATGAAAAAGTGATGATAAAATTATAAAACTTTCCACTCACAAGATCCTTTAGTACTTTAACATTTTAATCTACGGGAAATTTATTTCAGTGATAAAAGACATCGGGATCTAACTTTGTTTTCTCTTCAAAGTTTTAGGTGTGCCACCATTTATTGACTAACCCATATTTCCCCACTGAATTAAAATATCATCATTAAATTATAAATTCCCATCACCAAATTCTTGCATATTTGTTCTTCCACTTTAGCTACATGCACTAAGGGACCCCATCAGCAAGTTCGGGGAGAGGCCAGAAAGTTCCTTCCGAGCCTGGAGGCCATCAGAAGTGACGGTCTACCCAGGCGTCACTTTTAAAAATGATTTCATGGCAGCCTCTGCCCAAATCCCAGAGTTGGCCCTCAGAGAGCACTTGGTTCCAGTTGCCCACGGGGGACGGTGACAGCTGGGCTCTCTGCTTCCCTCTCCTGCAGTGTGATGGGGGTCTCGGCTTTCCCCAGCTGGACCAATAAGTACCTGCTAATCACAAACCACCTCGCACTTTCTGAGGGTGCTCCTTGATGGAGAATGTCATCAA